AAATACATATGCGTGGGTGAGTGTCGGATTAACATTTATTCGCGATACTTTATCATTGACGTAACAGAGTTTCGATTATCGGTGCAGCAACTCAACGGTAGTATGGCATTCTATATCGGTTTGCAAATAAAAGAGTATCATTGCGACGAGGTAATAAATGTCGCGAATGACGCTCGCGCGTTTCAAAAGGCTCCGCGTGACGACTTGTACTTATCGTCCTTTCCCGCGGGGCTTTATCGATAATATCATGAAGGGTCTCTTTCAGGGTCTCTGCCGACAGTGGACGCTATTGTGCGATGGACCGTCATTGCGATCTAACGTCCTAGTTTCGCTTGGAATATCGCGTGTCGTTTTACTTAAGAATTCGCGGAAATCGAGATCGCCGAAGAATGTCACGCGAAATTATGCCGTTCTCTATTTTGTACGAAAGACTTTGCGAAATGCTAACATTTCTCTTGTCGCCCTCGTTATCTCGCTCGCAGCGATAACTCATCGCGATTTAACAAATCTGCGTCCATCTTTTTTCTGCACCTGAACTTTATACTTGTCCGATTATCTATATTTTTCATATTTCGTGATTCTGTATCGTATCGTGCTAGATAGCTTCATATTTCTTATTATTTTGCGGATCGAGCGCTACAAATTTTATCTTTTTCCTATTGTGTACGCCGTCCTAAGTTCACCTCTACAAATTGCACAGTAGTTCTCCATTCATCACTTCGCATATCTGTCGTTAATAAATGCACATTTGTCTCTCTATCTCGCGAAACTTTATTAGCTCTTGCACATTTAACTTCCTGTCGTCTAGCGCACTTCAATCGCGTGTGCTCCCGCTGCTAAATTACATGTTTGCATGACCCTTGGCAATCTCATAATTAATTTCTTGAAATGACGCGGTGCCTCGTTAATTCGTCGAGAATTTTGACACGTAAGAGACTTCCATTATTTTCGAGTATCCGTTATATATTCGAGTTGAGGAAAACGTCAACAAACGGTCGTGCAACTCAGAAGGGTTGAATTATAGTTCCGTGACCTCGATGTGGCAGCAGAAGCGCAGCCAAGGTCGCGTTTGAATGGTGCATTCAATGTCAACGACGAACGTGGACTTTCTACGGCGAAATCAATGCCGAATTTCGTTGGCTGGCCGGTTGACGAACATCGTAGCGTGACTCGAGCAATAAAAATCGGCGCAGCTTTGCTGGAGTTCTGCACAGCGTCGCGAATTGCGTGGGCGAATTGGTGGGATCTACCCCTGCCACGTTCACCCTCGCTCCGTCATCCTCCCTCTGCGTTAATGCGTCGGGATCGTGGCAAGAAAAGAAGTAAAAAGCCGTATCTCCGGGAACCGTCGATACCAAACATGGAAAGATATTGATACTGTAATAACATCGAATAGTATTAGCTATCTCTTTGAAATTGAATTTGATCAAAAGAAAAATTGTCCCCTTTCATCCTGCGTCTCATGCAGTCGAGATCTTTTTTTTACAGTGAATTTAAGTCCTTTGGATGCAGCTTTCTTTACTCTAAGCAATGTGATCGTTTTCATGGATAATTTTTTTTAAAACACGCCTTACAACTGCGTTGGCTCTTTATGGCCTCTTACTATATTTTATTTTAATTTATTAATTTCGAGAGCCTGTAATTTTGTTTATCTTTAATTTTCAAATATTCTATTATTTCATATTCAATTATAATTTTGAAATATAATTAGGAACTAGTAATAAATAAAGATTATTTGAATAAAAATTATTTATTTATCTAGATTTTTTGTTAGCAATTTCTCCTCAATTCGCTATAAATTTCACACGCGCTCGAAACTGCCGATTCACGGCTGCTTCTCTGGGAGAGGTGAAGAGAACTCAGAGACTTTATTTTGACACGAGAGCTATATTATATTCTTATTTGTTCTTCTACAAAGGAATCGTCAGGCGGCGTTTATTTGTCTCTCGATCTATAGCTGATGACGACCTCTCAAGATCGCTCGATCGCCATATATATACGGCGATCCTCGTCTCCCGAATTCTCGAACGCGACCAATAGGGCGAAGACACGCTTTGCCACGCTTTCTCCCGACAAACGTGCCCTCGACCAAATATAAAAATAATACACATACGATACAAACATACACGATATAAACATACGTGGCCGTTATTCGCGCCTGTTTGTAATAAATCGCTAACATTTTAGAAAATATTTTTTCCTAAATTGCTTCCTGGTAATTTTCTGAAACTCGAGATATAAGCTTTATGGGATTAGAATATTCGATCACATTTAATTTGAAAATTTTGCTTTCGTTTTTCGTAATGGCTATTTTCAGGATTACGTTAAGACTGACCCTGAAAAAATGATCGTTCTTTAGGGATTATATCGCGATAGGCTATACCGAGAACTGTCATACGGTTCAATCTTGTCACGCGTGACGTATCGGGACGAATGGTTAGCAGAAAATACAGTCGTATGCGAAAGGCCGGTATCGATTCTCGCGGTTCATCGAAATCGTGCATGTGAAAGGGTGCATGGGCCGGTCGGCACGCGACATTGCGATCGTCGTTACATGGTCAAGCACAAGTTGTTAGCCTACGCATGGCATTATTACGAAATCGCTCGGATACACTATGCAAATCATAAGCCATCTATTTTGATATTCTCTCAGGCTGAACTTAAGATCTCAGCAATCACCGATTCTTCTAAATAAAGCATGTATTATGTATTTCATCTAAAAAATCAAACTACGCTTATTATTACCAAAAAAATTAAGAAAACTTTCGTAATTTTGCTTTCGAAATTATTGTGGTAAATAATTGAATCTAATTAATTTTATCAATAATATTGAAATTTATTTTTTGTACTAAATAGTTGAATATAATTAAGTTTGTTAATAATATTGAAATTTTAAAGGAGATATATCACTGTATTAATAACACAAAGTCGTAGGAGAAATTATTAATTTTGTTGTGTTTCTTTGAAATTGATACATATTTATAAACATTTTTGAGTTATTTAATAAACTTTAAACAATTCAAAACAACTGTTTAATTAATTATTACGACGTAATTTATTAACTTTATTCGTGAGTTTAATTTTACTATCTTTTATCGATCTCAGTAGTTTTTGTAGGATCTTATCATAGCCTCTGAATATTGTAATCTAACGCGATTTGTAGTATCCGAAGGGCGAAACGACCCTGCAGTGTACCTGGAGCTGCGTTCTGCGAACGCGTTATCGCCGTTCCCTATCAATGCACCCTTGCCCGAGACCCTTTTTCGCGCTCGTGCGATTATGTTCGCCATGCACGAAATCGATAGTCCTGCAGGCGTGTGTGAGAAATCGAGCAAAGACTGACTGACGGACGGGGCCTGTCTGTAACTTGTGGCGTTTGTAGCACCTACCATCTACCGCTTTAACAAAACTCTCATTGTCTTGTGTGACGTATGTATATGCTTCCCGGGAAACACATATTCCGTAAAGCATACGGGATAAGAATTGAATTAGACCGAGAGATGTTCTCTCGGTTATGCGAAAAGACAATTTAACGGCGACTTGTTAAGTGTGGAAACTAAATACGAGCCATCGTTTTAAACGTCAGTGCAATATTATGGTCTCGCATCTAGTCTTGCGTTGTAATTATAAGATTATTATTATCACATTATACGCGTATAAAATTATTATTATAACATTGTACTGTTGGCATAATTATAGCTCGACTACATAATAGCGTTACATAACCATAACGTGTTACAAAATTATTATGAAGTTAAAAGATATGCTTGAACCTATAAGATTACATCCACAAAGTTAATTGCAAAATGGATCCTTTTGCTTGCACTATCGACATTTACTGGCTCGCGCGAACCGGAAATAATTGGATGAGCATAACCGATGCATTAGGAAAACGCGGCGCATCTGCCACACGAAGAATTACGTTCCTAGTGCAGAGGTTAATTCCATAGCCACCCTCTCTCAATTCCCTCTCTACCAATTAGGGATTGGTCTCATGTAGGGTGATCTTAAGTCAACTTGGCTGTCTAGAGTCTATCCATTCGTGTAATATATATAATTGCCATTAACTTTACAAAATTTTGATTTTTGTCAGTACTTCAAGAGATCGATACATGTTTGGATAAATTGATATATTTATTCTAAAATACATTTTTGTCAGGCAAAATTGTATTCGCATTATATCGATGAGATATCGATCGGATAATTTTCGTAAAAAGTTTATCGTGGAGTTTTAGTATGTCCATAATTAACATTTAATGACTATGCTATATCTAATGAGATTCAATAACGGTGGGTCTATTTATTATTTTTGATATATCAATCGCTTGCGCCAAGTCAAGAAATTGCATCACGGTGTTTCATCATAGAATTTTAAATGAGACTTTTGACATGGCAGTTTAACATACAATAGCAAGAGTTAATCAATTAATCATGGATCTGGTGCGTCTTGAATGGTTCAGATACAATATCATAAATCGCTTGTACTTGTCATTTATTATTGTTTTTAATATAATTTAACATTATTAATTATATAGCATTTTAAAAGTTGTTATATATTATTCGCTGTCCATCATATTATAAGAAATATTTCAATGATATCTACGCGGCGCTCAACAGTTAAAACATTTCTGTTTGAAATTATTGGTTTCGATATTAAACCATAAATTGCAAGAGAGCGCGTTTCTGATATCCTCATATATTGCACACTGAATATATACGATTTTATTTTCCATTGTTTGGTAAATTATAGGTACAATAAGAAATACATTTTCTAAAGTAAAAAAATAATGAAAATATTTATAGCATGAAAAAAAGAGAATTATTGACTTCTTTATTTTATAAATATTAAATAATTTTAAAATCTTGTGTTATGATGTGCAGTTATATAGTTCCGCGTATATAAACCTCAATTTATTATCGTGAATAAAAATAATATTTACGCTGCAGAATGCATTGAAGAGTAAAATGTTAATTATATTGTTAAAATTTTTTGTACATACCTGAGACCACTAATATCTTTATCGTCATCAATGAGCACAATAGCAAAGTCATGAATTGCAATCTAGGAATCCGCATGATGGGGTAACAATCGTTGTTCGATTAATAGCAAAAATCACTCCAACATCATAGTCACTATGACTTGATACTGCACTGATTCGACGAAGATTTCGTTCCACGAAAACGCACCGCCACGTTCCTTACATACGTCTTTTTGTCAAGCCAAATAATGTTAAAATTATAATTGAATGATAATATAATGAGATATGACAAATCGTGTTTAATAATTATTGCTTCTTTTGTGTAATAGAATGTGACATTTCGAAGCTCACTAAAAACCGATCGCGATTGATTTTTGAAAATTGAATGAAGCCTTTTTTTATTTTGCTGCAATAGTATACTAGATATTTGAATATTGTTTAAGAATAATTGCAATTGTATTAGACAACAAATTTAATTTGTATACAACTTTTATTTTTATTTAATATAGTTGATAAATTAAAAGAAAATAAAGTGTTTGTTATTGGTTTGTTACGTAAAAACTCAATCGATTCTACTTTTGGCATACATTGTCACAGTTATTTTTATTTACAATTAATACGAATTATAAAGTAGTCTTTCTCTTTTATTCATATATATTTTCAAGGTTTATATTTTTTTCAAAGTAATCGGTATTATCCTATTTTGGAATATTATTGTAGCATTTCCTTATATTCTGCAAGCATCGCTGATTTTCACTCGATTATAAGAATGAGAATTATTATTTTTTAACGCAAAAATTATGAAATGAAAAAATAAAGAAAACAATTCTAAATATTGTCGAACCGACACGATCGTACCTTTTTTTCTCACAAAATCCGCTATACTTCTAATCGTGGTTGAACGATAATCGGAACGACATAAAGTCACGCCGTCTCGGACGTCCAGAATGATTCTTTACTACGGTGAATCGGTATCTCATTTTTTGATTTCGCGTTTTTTAACAATTTCCTTCAGAGACACATAAATATCTTAGAGAAAAGAGACCGTACCCAGACGTCGCGACGTTACGGCGTTACGGCCGATACTAAAGCGACGTCGAGACGTCCGCCGTTATCACACACAATTTTCTACGCGTGCGCGTACGCCCTCGAGATAGCCAGGAGGGCAGCTGAAGTGACGTGGGGGTGACGCGGGGCGACAATGCCAAGGGAATCCCCTATGGCCGCACTGGGAATAGGCACGACTTCTCTTTTGCACGTCGTTCGTAGGTGCAGGACTTATTCCGATTATTATCACCTCGATATGTGATAACGACTTCTACGATCTTACGAAGTGCGAGGATACTCGAGAATTTGGACCATTTCTATTTAAAGTAGAAACATGATCGTAGCAATATAAAAAATTATATTTCTTTTTTAAGAAAAAAAAGTCAAATTAGATAATTAAATATAGATTATAGAAATTATAATTAAAATAAATTATAATTAAATTATAATTAAATTATAATTAAAATAAAAATAAGTCAAATAATAAATTAAAAATAAAACTTTTTTAAATAATATTTACAAAAATATTTTTTATGAAATGAACAATTTCATAGATAATATAATAAAAATATAAAAATATACTTAAAAATATACTTATATACTTAAAATATTTAAATTTTACATTAATACACATATGGAAAATGCAATTCTTCTTTATTAAAGTTTGTAACGAAATATGAATTGAATAATGATATAAAAGGCATAGAAAAAACAAAATTTATATAAAATCTCTTAAAATAAGAATTTTAATATATTTTACTTTTGTATATTATTACTTTTTATTAGTCTGTATAAAATTATTAATTTATAAAAAATTTATTAAAAATTTATATTTCTTAAATTATTATTTCTTAAAAATGTCTTTTATGAAATTTAAGTTTTGTTTAATAAATTTATATGTTTTAATTTGTATTTAAATTATTATTTAATGTAACTTTTATTTGATCATATAATTTCTTTTATTCATAATTAAAAAATTGATATTATATTGTTTTTCATTTATTTTAAAAGTTATAGATTATACAGTTTATATAATCAATTTTTTAAAGAAAAATTAAAATGTAAATTATAATTTATCATAAATTTATGCGTTCATTGAAAAAATATCTGGAGTATTTAAATATTTTGTAAAAGAATGTCTCGTTATTTTTCAAATAAATTGCTTTCAATTTATAAATCAATTTATAAATTACCACAATACTCTATTGAATTTGCTACATTTGAGTCATTCTTTATATTAATATTGCTTTTATTTTATTCTAGATATTTTTAAAACACAACTGGCGAAACCAATTCGGTTTCGCATCGATCGCGTTTTGTCTCATCTGTGATGGGTTACATTATTCGCCGTTTCTCTTAATTTAATTAGAACATCGATTCGGTGGTTGGTTCACTTCGTTTCTTACTCGCTCTCCTAAATTAAAGGATTCGTGAAATCGCAGAGGAAAGTTCTTAATGCTGAATCTGCAGTTACGGGAATATCGTATTTTTCCTTTATTTTTCTAAGCTTAGCCGCATGACATAAGTTTGATTTAGAGCACGACATTTAGACGCACTTTTTCAGCCTCGCAGACATTTCATTCGCGACGGAAGGTGTCTTTATGATTTAGTATCTCTTTCGTGTCGACGGGTACACTTAACTAAATGCTGTTTCTTTTCAGTATCGTCTTTATACTTTTAAGAACCTGCTTATATTGAAGCAATTTGCAATCCTTTTTATATAAATTATCATATAATATTGCTCTCTTATATATTATATGAGGGTCTTTATATATGTTAAGCATAATCGTTACTAATTTATTTTAAAAACATTTAGAAAATAATAAATATATAATAATTTCGGATAACATCTTGCGAAATAAACATACATTAAATTTTTCGAAAATATTAAAATTAAAATCTATGAAATATTTTTTTCTTGAATATTGATTATAGAAACTTTTTTGAATAATGATTATAGAAACTTTTTTTTATATCATTCGTGGCTCAGAAAATTTATCCATTGTGTTCTCATGCTTACGTCACTGCAGTCTTTTCTGCGAGACGCATGTTTTAGCAAAGATTGCGTGTCGTCACTTTACTTGCTTTCGCGAAGTTTGCGAAAAAAGTTAAATCGATCGCGACGTAAGGAACTAATGTTGAATTGTATGATTTATGGTTTACACAACAAAGTCGTTAATTGTGACGTTTGAATAATTCATTTGTTATGTGTATACAATATGTATCTTAATATGAATTCTGAATTGAACAAAAAACAAATATTTATAAAGAATTTAATTTACAATTTAGATGTATTTAATTTTGAAATCAGAGAGAAATCGATGTTTATTTTAGACTTTAATCCAACGAATAGGTACACTAAATTCATGAGAATTAGTTGTGTAAGTATCACTAGGTTTTCAGAAATTATTTTTTTAAATTAAAAATTCTTTAATAAATTTTATTTTTTATCAGTACACATTTTTTTATTCTATAACACACATCGTTGCATTTCTACATTGAAATAACAATATTTTCTTCATTTGATTCATTTATATAATTAACAATGCAAGAAAATTGCGACTTTCAATGATATCATCCCCTATATAAAACGCATAGCTCCCTATAGGGAAAATGACGTAATGACCAGGTGGATGGTTGATTGGTTTCATATATCCGGCAATATATTGTATACAATCCTGAGTATGAATTAGCCGACACATTACAATCCTAATCCACGTGTTTGTGATTTTTGCTACATGCATCTGTTTCATTCGACATTGAAGCGTAATATATATATCGCAAAATAAGATGTACAATTAGGACGAAGATTATTTTGCTCCTCAGGAAAAAGATGTTGACTTATGACAAATTGTTAATGAAAATTTCATTTGATGAGATCATTATATCATTTTTCATATATCTCTCATCAACTTATTTTTTTCATATAAAAGCTAAAAAGTTAAAAACTTTTAGATTTATGGTTTATTATAACATTTATATTTTTTTGTTTACATTATATGAGAAAGATTATTATTTTTTAATATCATGTATAAACTTTATAATTAAGAACTAGAGATTTCAATTAAATCTTCTTTTGTTCTTTTGAAAAGATGATTACAATCTTTCTCTTTTTCTTATTATACCATACTTAGAGAATTTCAATGTGTTCAATACTTAAGTCGAGCCTTATAGAAATCTGTTTTCTTCTTGTTGATCCTTCTCTCCCCTGTGTGAGCGTGGTATTTATTATTTTAGGATTAGCATTCTGTATCTATGCGATATAAATTCGACACAAGCTTGTTGTATTAATCGATATAGGGGCGTAATACTTTATTTGTTGGGACATCGATGGAAGTGCAAACGATATAATAGATATACTATATCGTATCTCTATCTTTCGACGAGTGGAACGCGATCCTATCGTGAAATTTTTATCTGTATGCGCGTTGCACTGTCGATAACACTCACCCTCCAAAATAGACGTATAGATTGTAGCGTAGTAACATTGTTTGCCGTTTAGTATTACGGCTGGTCAAGTCACAGACAATGACTCTTGTTATTGCCGTTATATCGCTTACAGGCTTCCAATTTAACTCCTATAGAATCTATCGATAAATTTGTCTATTAGAAAGTTGATGAACAATTTTAAAATCAATAATTTTTCAACCACAAAGCAATTTTTATTAATATTTTAATTTCTAATAAATCTGAATAACTCTTTTTATCTTTAGTTTTTTTTTATCTTTTGAGGAATTAAAATCATTTTTGTTAGGAAAAATGTAAAAGATTTATGGAAAGTTCCTTGGCTATCTTCGTAATGTCCGAGATATGAAATCTTTCCGTTTGCGTCATCTCAGATTGCGCGTTAAAGTGAATATATTTGCGAATACTTTAACTCGAAGAAGTCCTGTAATCGTAAAGGACGTTTCGAGCAAGGAAATAGAGTACCCCTTGCATCGTGGTAATGGCCGGTCTGGGATGGCGCGCGCGAAGGGTGCATTTCAATTGATCCAACGCTATCGCGAGGAGGGTTCGTTGACCAACATTATCGTATATAACGAGACGCACGCAAAGTCTCGATGCGCTCGCTTCGGGTGTCCTTGAAGAGCAATCGCTTCCCCATTAAGGTCACCAACGTTATTTGTTTTTTACTGTGTGGATATATTTGATTATAATTAATGGACGCGATTAAATAAAAAAATTAATGTTTTTCTTTCTTTAAATCTTATGATTCAAATCTTAATTGATTGAAAATAATATAAATATTTTTTCTCCTAAATTTAGAATTATTTAGAAATTAAACTTGATTAATTAAATTTTATTTGAAATTAGTAAGTGAAAAAAACAATAATACATTAACAGCATAATATTAAATGGCTTTAGTTTCTTGCCAAATTGTGGTCATTTATTTAGTTTAGTTTCAAGCAATGCTTCGAAGAAAATGCGTGACACACAATACACACACTTTTACGGAGAACAACTTTTATGTACATTAAATCATCTGATGGAATATATATATTCCATCGCATCAGACTTTTGTCTCGAAAAGTAAAAGTTTCTTGCATTTAATGATCGAATCCGAAATTTCTGAAGGGTTGTTCGTTTATTTTCGCGATTCATTCGGCAAATGCATTTGACTGCTCGATTGTCCGTAGAAAAATCGATATCTAGGAAATGATTCCCCCTTCTTCTGTACTTTAATCCCTCTTCAATGATATCAACGTTCTTCGTAACATTGAACACAATATTTTTGATGAACAGAATATTGTTTTAGTTTTTCGCTTTTATATTTCCGAACTTCTGTCTTGTTTAATGAACGCGAAAGATACCGTGATTATTAAATCGATGTGGTAGAAAAAAAATATATATTGCAGGCAGGTAAATTTTTTTACGCATCGTTAAAAGCACCCAAGAGGTCATTAGTCTCGCTAATCTCGGTTGCTGTGGATATATAGGTTGAATGTAAATTATTGTCAAGGAACGTTAATTACGACGCTAGAACTAATTACTCTGTTTTACGCGATTCTTTGTTAAGAGCTT